AATATTGATTTTTTCTTTGTTTTCATTAGTCGCAAACTGCAAGCAATACTCAAGGTRAAATATAAATCTAGTTGACATATTAAGTTTTTCATTCTTTCATACTATGCACTGCTTCTTTTATCTAAACTAAATTGGAATTCTGAGACCAGTGACTTTAGACAAATCAAAATCACCTCAACTAGTTTAGTACTGTAATTGTAGTAATAGTTTTCTGTTACATTATCATAAGTTTCAATTGAATATTGATTACAGAGTCTACAAGTCAAGAACAATCCGCTACAGATTCCACCAAAAACACATTCACGGCAGCAAATGGAGGACCCCCATCATCAAATTTYGTATATGACCCAACGTCAGGGTACTATTATGATGCCACATTAGGATTATACTATGATGCAACGACGCAGGTATGTATGATGATATGGTAAAGTTAGTTATTTGAAAAATAAATTGTATTCCTCATCCTCCAGATAGAAAATGAACTGTTCCTTATTGCTTTTGTCTAGGTACACTGCATTTTTCCCTTTCCACTTTGTCAAGTTATTACCAAGGGGAGTGAATTGTGCTAAGACAGTAATTTTATTAAGATATCTTTTTTTTAATTTTTGTTTCTAGTATTATTACAATAGTTCAACTGGACAATACTCCTACTGGGATGCAAATACACAGCAGTATGTTCCAGTCGCTGCCGATGGGTAARCACAAATTATATTCATCATGTCTCTGTGTGGATCTCATTTAACATTTAATAATGGATACAAAGTTTTGATGACAAAGCAAAGGGAGTCTGCTACCCGTTTCCTGCTACCATCTATTTGTTGAGTTGGTAGGATTTTGAGTTTGAAACTATTTCTATTTGTTGTAATTACAGAACAGCCATTTCAACCACTGCATCTGCAGTATCTGCAACAACAGCAACAACAACACAAGCAAGTATATCAGCAGCAACAATTACAGCAGGTGCAACAACTACAACAACAAATGCCACAGAATCATCTGATTCATTGGCTGCCAAAGGTGAGAGATAAATCTGTTGGTTTATAGACATTATTACTTTTATTTTTAAGTAGAACAACCCTAGAAGGCAATTGTATTCTTGTCATTTGAGGGTTTTCTTCCCATTAATCAAATCTCTAAATTTCACAAAACTGCTCTTAAGACTCCATCAACAAACTCACTGAAATGTTGCATGTCAAGATAATGACAGAAAGCATTTGTTTAATAAAGTATTATATTTAAAGGTTTCAGCACATTATTATTATTATTAAATCATGTGTTGTTTTGACTCACTTAGAAAAACAAAAGAAAGCCAAATCCTTACAAGCCAAGAAGGTAAAGTAATCTCAAGCATACATTCAATTTTAGCAGGCATAAAACTTAATTTGATCACTACATTTTCATCAAAATGATTTCCTTGGTGTGGAGGTAAAACAACTTTTTATTTCTGACCAAATAGATAGCAAAAGATATGGAGAGATGGGCAAGAAATGTCAACACAGCCAAAAAACAACAACAGCCAGAGGAACCAAAGAAAACTGCTGTGAATGAAGAACCGGAATTCAAAAAGCCAATGCTGCCTCCACCAAAGTTATTAACAGTTTTAAACAAGGCAGCAAATGCCAGGGATAATACAATTGAACCAGTGAAAGTCATGTCAAGTCCTTTATCTGGTATGATACTCTCAAAGAAAGAAGATGAAACAAAGCAAGGTATGATATTAGTCTCCTTTGCAGACTTCTGCTAATCAGAATTTTGACTGAGAAGAACTGGTGTCGAGTGATTAGGAAAAACAAATTTTGATTTTCCTACCTTAATAAATAATAATATAGAGTGCAAAAAATATATCCGTGCATACTTACAAATAACTTTTATTAAATTTTACTAAATTTAAACTATGATTGATGTAGTGTGGTCACTAGACCGTGAAAGCGTATTGTACTGTAAGGGTCCTGTAAATCATTGCTCGACTAATTGTACTTTACACTAAATTTATATGTAGTATATTCATGCTTCAACTATTTTTCACTAATTATACAAAATTTCACTATTTTAACTTAGTGTTGCASSGATATCTTGCTTGCACTATAATAAAATGATAATATTAAAAATAATAAAATACATTACATTAGTGCCATGATTAATAGTACAATTTTTTCCAGGTTCTAAGTGGTCAAGTATTATTGCTGAATACGGTGAAGATGATGAAGATGAGCCAGAACCAGAACCAGAGGAAGCCTTATCAGTATCTGATAAAMAATTTGCAGACCTTAAATTAATGGCATGTCTTTTGTGCAAGCGGCAATTTCCTAACAGAGATGGTTTGGACAGGCATATGCAATTTTCTGATCTTCACAAGGTGGGTATCTCTGTTATGTTGTTGGGGTTTTTTGCTCTTAGGACATTATTTTGTATTTTGTTGGTTTTTCTCTTGTTTTCCTCCTATGAATCACTATTTCCAAGATAGGTATTAAAAAAKATGTTATTACATATAATTATGTTATGTTTTATTTATTGTGTTTTACTTTAATAGCAAAACCTTGAGATTCATAAAAAGATGAGCATGACAGAAAAACAACGAGAAGAATTTGARAGACAAGAACGAGAGGTAATTTTATTTGTGCTGTAAGTTTTATTTAAGAAATATAAAACAGCGCGCGTGTCTCTGTCCTCTGATATAAACACGATGGGAGTTCAAAAAACACGAGAGAAGCAAGCTTAGGAACACGAGCGTAGCGAGTGTTTCTCTTGCTTCTCGAGTTTTTTTTCAACTCCCACCGTGTTTATATCAGAGGATAGAGACACAAGCAGCCGTTTTATATTTCTTTTATAAAATTTTTCGAGCGAAAAGAAAATTTTGCCGGTAAGCAGTGTCTCTGTCCTCTGATATAAACACGGTCGTCAGCCAATCAGAGCGCGTGTTATATATCAAAAATTTTATAATGTGCCATAAAAATCAATGCATTGTTTTCTCAGTCAACTGGGTTTAGGATTGAACTTAGGTCTCTTTAGCAAAGAATTTTTAAGTCTCTTGTGCTGCATGGACAAGATTTTCAAATACTGAGCAATAATTTAAAATAATTTCATGTATCTCTGTGTTGTAAGTTTGAATACAGTGTATTACATTCAGTGATTTTTRTCGCATCTAATGAWTTGAYTGACAGTCAAAGTACCGAGATAGAGCAAAGGAGCGACGGGAGAAATACAACCAGCCAGATATCAGCAGCTTTTCTCAGCCTATCAGCAGAAAGCGCAAGCCTTTCCAACCAACATCGTGAGTAACTTTTGAAAATTACAAACTCAAAGGCCAAACTACTTTTTTCCTAAGGGAATGCTTAACTGTACATGCAGTTACTGCAATTTTTTGGAAAATATGGAAACTCAAACATGTGTTTACTTCACAACTCTGAAATTTACTGAATGGTGCTTTCATAAATCTTCAGTCAAAGCTGATTGAACTCTTGCAAACTTCCAAGTTTCTGTTGAATGTTTGGCATCTGTTGGGGATCCAGAATTTTCTTCAGGGTRGGGTACCTGTAGGGCAATAAGAGAGGGGGGGATGCACTTCACTAAAATGATGACAAAAGAGACAAAAAATTAGGGAATGTATTAATGGATGCAAGGTCCTAGGAGTGGGTTCCTACCCCCTGGACCTAACAGCTTTATATGCCACACTGCTKTATAGAAAGTTCAAAGTTTTGATTGATAAAAAAAAAAACACCAAAAGAATTTGACATTATACATAATTTCAGTAAATATGAACAACCAACGAAGGAAAGAATAGGAGAAGATAACATTGGCAA